CTATAAAATTCTAAAAAACAACTCAATTATTTTCAAATGTATTAAAATTCTTCGCAGAAATTCAATTATATTTAAAAACTTGTTTAAATTCTTATCAAAATTTTAATTATTTTTATAAATAATTAAATTGTTCTGTACAATTCATTTTTTCGAAAATTTTAATAAAATTCTACGCAAACATTCAATTACTTTCATAAATAATAACATTCTTTGGAAGTATTCAATTACTTTCATAAATAGTAAAATTCTTTGCAGGAATTCAATTCATTTTTTCGAAAATTTTAATAAAATTCTACGCAAACATTCAATTACTTTCATAAATAATAACATTCTTTGGAAGTATTCAATTACTTTCATAAATAGTAAAATTCTTTGCAGGAATTCAATTATTATCAATAACATTTTAATAAAATTAAATAATCAAAGTACAGCAAAGTATGGGAGAGTAAAAAAATTTTTTTTTTGAAATATTAAATATAAAAATTAAAATTCTGAATTTTTGGAGTTCGGCAAAGTACAGAAAAGTACAGCAAAATATGGGAAATTTAAAAATTAGTTTTTTTTTGAAATATTAAATTAGAAAATAAAATTCTGAATTTTTGGAGTTCGACAAAGTACAGAAAAGTACAGCAAAGTATGGGAAATTTAAAAATTAGTTTTTTTTTGAAATATTAAATTAGAAAATAAAATTCTGAATTTTTGGAGTTCGACAAAGTACAGAAAAGTACAGCAAAGTATGGGAAATTTAAAAATTAGTTTTTTTTTGAAATATTAAATTAGAAAATAAAATTCTGAATTTTTGGAGTTCGACAAAGTACAGAAAAGTACAGCAAAGTATGGGAAATTTAAAAATTAGTTTTTTTTTGAAATATTAAATTAGAAAATAAAATTCTGAATTTTTGGAGTTCGGCAAAGTACAGAAAAGTACAGCCAAGTATGGGAAATTTAAAAATTAGTTTTTTTTGAAATATTAAATTAGAAAATAAAATTCTGAATTTTTGGAGTTCGGCAAAGTACGGGAAAGTACAGCAAAGTATGGGAAATTTAAAAATTAGTTTTTTTTTGAAATATTAAATTAGAAAATAAAATTCTGTATTTTTGGAGTTCGTCAAAGTACAGAAAAGTATAGCAAAGTATGGGAAATTTAAAAATTAGTTTTTTTTGAAATATTAAATTAGAAAATAAAATTCTGAATTTTTGGAGTTCGGCAAAGTACAGAAAAGTACAGCAAAGTATGGGAAATTTAAAAATTAGTTTTTTTTGAAATATTAAATTAGAAAATTTTAAATCTGAATTTTTGGAGTTCGGCAAAGTACAGAAAGGTACAGCAAAGTATGGGAAATTTAAAAATTAGTTTTTTTTGAAATATTAAATTAGAAAATAAAATTCTGAATTTTTGGAGTTCGGCAAAGTACAGAAAAGTACAGCAAAGTATGGGAGAGTAAAAAAGGGTTTTTTGAGAATCTTGAATAAGAAAATTTAAAATCTGGATATCAGAGTTCGGCAAAGTACGGAAAAGTGCAGCAAACTATGGGCTAGTAAATAAATGGTTTTTCGTAAAATATAACTTCATAAAATTAAATTTTGGAATTTTGGATTTTGGTAAAGAATATGTCAAAATGTAGAAGAATCCTATTGCTTGATAAAATGGTGTGTTAAAGAATTAAAATAAAAATTTAAGTTTCCGTGTGTGCAGGATGGTCAATGTTTTACAAAGTACAGGGAGGTAAGGGTGTGGAATGAAATTTTTTTGTACATTACCGTAATTTTCCGAACTCCAAAAATTCAGAATTTTATTTTCTAATTTAATATTTCAAAAAAAATCTATTTTTTAAATCTCCCATAGTTTGCTATATTTTCCCGTAATTTGCCGAACTCTAAAAATTCAGAAATTCAATTTTCATATTTAATATTTCAAAAAAATCAATTTTTTAAATCTCCCATACTTTGCTGTACTTTCCCGTACTTTGCCGAACTCCTAAAATTCAGAATTTTATTTTCTAATTTAATATTTCAAAAAAAACTAATTTTTAAATTTCCTATACTTTGCTGTAGTTTCCCGTACTTTGCCGAACTCCAAAAATTCAGATTTAAAATTTTCTAATTTAATATATCAAAAAAAATCTATTTTTTAAATATCCCATACTTTGCTGTACTTTCCCGTACTTTGCCGAACTCCAAAAATTCAGAATTTTATTTTCTAATTTAATATTTCAAAAAAAAACTAATTTTTAAATTTCCCATACTTTTCTGTACTTTGCCGAACTCCAAAAATTCAGAATTTTATTTTCTAATTTAATATTTCAAAAAATTAGTATATTACGATACTAGGCCAGAAAGTTGGATTTCCTGGCCGGCGTGATATATAAGGCCGAGGCTTTATATATCACGCTCGCTAGGGTATCCAAATTTCTGGCCGTGTGTCGTATACAATTTTTCTGTATCCCCAGCCGAAAGTACGTTAAATAATTATTGTTTGAATAAAAAAATAGCTCAATAAGTTGCCCGCCCGACTTTTGCAAAGTCGAGGCGAAGCCGAGACTTAGCTGGTCGGGGCGGGCATGAAAAAAAAATTATAAGTAAAATATAATTGGAAGTAAAATTTAAAAAATAGTAAACAAGAAATTTTCTTTTACAAATAAATATTTAATAATTAAAAAATAATAAAAGAAAATAAGAAATTTCATGCATTATTTTGATGACTGTCAGTTGTTTTCAAAACGTGAGCTCTGTAAGTAACGTGTCTGTGTGGTTGCTATGCTAACATGTACGTGTGTTGAAATTCTTGTAACCAATCAGAGCGCTCGTTGGGTCTGTCGAGCCGGCCACAAAAGTCGCTATTCCCGGAGCCAAATCAGACCGGGAAGGCAGTATTTTCGGCAAAGGGATACAGAAAAACTAATTTTTAAATTTCCCATACTTTGCTGTACTTTCCCGTAATTTTCCGAACTCCAAAAATTCAGAATTTTATTTTCTAAATTAATATTTCAAAAAAAATCTATTTTTTAAATCTCCCATAGTTTGCTATATTTTCCCGTAATTTGCCGAACTCTAAAAATTCAGAAATTCAATTTTCATATTTAATATTTCAAAAAAATCAATTTTTTAAATCTCCCATACTTTGCTGTACTTTCCCGTACTTTGCCGAACTCCTAAAATTCAGAATTTTATTTTCTAATTTAATATTTCAAAAAAAAAACTAATTTTTAAATTTCCTATACTTTGCTGTAGTTTCCCGTACTTTGCCGAACTCCAAAAATTCAGATTTAAAATTTTCTAATTTAATATATCAAAAAATAGTATATTACGATACTAGGCCAGAAAGTTGGATTTCCTGGCCGGCGTGATATATAAGGCCGAGGCTTTATATATCACGCTCGCTAGGGTATCCAAATTTCTGGCCGTGTGTCGTATACAATTTTTCTGTATCCCCAGCCGAAAGTACGTTAAATAATTATTGTTTGAATAAAAAAATAGCTCAATAAGTTGCCCGCCCGACTTTTGCAAAGTCAAGGCGAAGCCGAGACTTAGCTGGTCGGGGCGGGCATGAAAAAAAAATTATAAGTAAAAAATAATTGGAAGTAAAATTTAAAAAATAGTAAACAAGAAATTTTCTTTTACAAATAAATATTTAATAATTAAAAAATAATAAAAGAAAATAAGAAATTTCATGCATTATTTTGATGACTGTCAGTTGTTTTCAAAACGTGAGCTCTGTAAGTAACGTGTCTGTGTGGTTGCTATGCTAACATGTACGTGTGTTGAAATTCTTGTAACCAATCAGAGCGCTCGTTGGGTCTGTCGAGCCGGCCACAAAAGTCGCTATTCCCGGAGCCAAATCAGACCGGGAAGGCAGTATTTTCGGCAAAGGGATACAGAAAAACTAATTTTTAAATTTCCCATACTTTGCTGTACTTTTCTGTACTTTGCCGAACTCCAAAAATTCAGATTTAAAATTTTCTAATTTAATATATAAAAAAATCTATTTTTTTACTCTCCCATACTTTGCTGTACTTTCCCGTACTTTGCCGAACTCTAATGATTCAGATTTTGAATTTTCTGATTTAATATTTCCTAAAAAACTGGCCTCAAAAACTTTGGTGTAGTTCTCTATTCGAAAATATTCCCGAAAAACCTATTTTCTTGATCCCGTACTTTGCCGAGCTGTCCCCGTACTTTAAATATCGTTGTTAACCATGCACATTCCAAAGTATGGGAAACGCTCATTAGCCGTACTTTACTGTACTTTGCCCATACTATTCTGTACTTTGATGGACTTTGCTGGACTTTGCCCGTACTTCCTTTTAGACGCGGGTCACAATTTCTTATCATTATAATTATTCTTTTCGCATTCTATAGCTAGAACTATTTCTTTTACAAATATACGTATATAACCTATGGCTGTTTTTCACAAATGTTTCATCGCTGAGTAATAATGGAGATTTTAGACAATTTTCGTTAAACATTTTTTTTAAATCCGCGTCACAATTTTCTGTTTGATATATTAAATAGCTCGATTCGTTTCTCTTACAACTTTATATTCTTCTATAGTGCTACATTTTTCTAAGTCTGTCTTGTCAATCGGTACGTATTCAGTTTTCGTTTGTAAAATGTATGGTTTGCTTTGTCATCGTTCGTTTCTTCTCAAATTGTCTTTAGTAAGTAAGTAAGTACTCAAATACTTAATCGCATTGTCATTGTCCATATCGTCATACTTTGTTTCTCTTCTTACATTAATATTATACCATCTGATCCTTTTGGTACGTTCGTTTCTTCATAATATCTTTGCTCTTCTTTATCTTCTTTAAATCGTGTAGACATATAATTCGCATCTTCCGTTGAAGTCTTCAACATTTACTCTAATGCTGGTCCATTTCGTCATATTTATTTCTTTTGTTTATTAATATCCTATTCGTCGTAATATTCTTCATATCGTGTTGATCTATTTTGTTATATTTGTTTTCTTGATTCATTTATATTTCATCATATAGTCCTACTGGAATGTCCTATTCGTCATAATATTCTTGATACCTTTTTGATTCATTTCGTTATATATTTTTCTTATTGATTCATAGTTTATCATTCAGTCCTACTTAAATATCCGAGTCGTCATATTATTATCCTATTGGTTCATTTCGTCATAATTATCCGATTCGTCATAATATTATTTATACTTTGTTTTCTTCTATGTTTGTATATTTGTAATCAATATTTCTTTTATCCTTGTACGTTCAAATTTTCGTCGTAAAATTAACTATCCTTTTCTTTGTACTACTTTACATCTCTTTAATCGTATTTCATTTGCGTTATCATTATCTATTTAAGGTATTTCGTTTAATTGTGCTATTTCTGATTGCTTCCATTTATTTTAATCGTTGACATAAATCACATGTTTTGATAAAGTCTTCAACATCTTTTGTAATGTTGGGCCAGTTTGTCATATTTCTTATCTTCTGTACTGTAATATCCTTAGAATAGTGTCCTCCTAATATTCCTTTATATTTTTATTATTTATATTTTTTTATTCCTTTTTATGTGCTTCTGCTATAATTTTTCTTCTATTTCTTTCAATGTGTTTCTTTATCAAATATATTTCCTTATCACCGCCTTTCCATATTTTACAAAGAATTCTTGATATTTTGTTTTCATCTATATCTTCGTAAATAATTCTTAATCTTTCTTCTCTAGTTTCTTTTTCTAAAAATTCTGTTAATTGCTGATTTGTCACCTGAGGACTAATTTTTATTTTGTCATCTTCTTCTGTTTTTTCTTTCGTGATCCAAATTTCTTTTATCCTTGTCGGTCCAAATTCTCGTCTTATGATTAACTGTCCGGTTTCTTCTATTTTGTTTCTTTTTAATCGCATTTTATTCGCGTCATCATTTTCATTTTGAGGTATATCTCTTATCCATTGTACTTCTTTAGTATCTGTAGTCAATTTTATATTCTTTATTACTTTGAATTCATCTTTAATTATTTTATGATCACTTTCTTCTGTTTGTGAATCTATTTCCATATTTTCGTTTTTATTTTCGTCATCAATTATTGAATTGTCGTCTTCTGTTTGCGTATCTATTTCCATGTTCTTATTTTTTTCGTTTACACCTGTAGTAGGCCAGTTCTGCTGTTCTAACGTGTCATTTGTACCATCTGTTGTCATCTGAACCCTTGGAATTCGCGATAAGGCGTCAGCGTTTGTGTTAGCAATTCCTTTCTTATAAATAATTTCATAATCATATTTTGTAATTGCTGAATATCTTCCTTTAAAATTAGTAAAACAGATTTTATCTCTCTTGTTTGCACTAGATTGCGGATAAAGTATTTTAGGTCCTAATTTTAAAATACCTTTTTGTAAATCCATTTTAAATTTTTGATCGTAAAGTAAATTCATTCCAATTAAACCGTTTTCTCTAAATGCATTTTCATCTTTTGTAACTTGAAAAACTGATTCTTTACCGTAAAGTTTTAAACAAATAGAATATTCGAACATTATAGGATTGTTTTCGATTGTTAAAACATTATGAGGCGCGTATTTTTTAAAGTTTTTCCCTTCTATCATACTTTCTTTTATAATTGATATATTCGATCCTGTATCAACTACAAATTTTCCTGATGCTAACTTATCAAATTTTAAAGCCACAATAGGTGTGTCGTGTCTTCTTCGTTCTCTTGGTATCGGTGGAAAGTCGTGCTTAGCGGGTTCTCCGATAAAGAAAATTCTTCGCTTAGCTGCACTCGGTCTGGTGGTTTGGTGTTGATTGGTCGTGACTGAAAATTTTGAGTTTTTTCTTGACGTGGTGGTAAACCTTTTAATTTTCCTCTACAAACATCCTCTGTATGTCCTAAATTTTTACAATGGTTGCATTTTTCTAAATTTCTCGGTTTGCTAAATCTTGGTGTTGGTACTGGGTTTTCATTTCTTGGGTTTCTGGTAAAATTGTCAATTCTTCTTTTATCTTTCAAATTCACGTTAATTTCTGAGGCAATATTAAAACATTCATTCAGCGTTTTCGGTTTCTGAGGACGGATTCTAATTTCAAATTCTTCACGTATATTTCTTAAGAATGTGCTGACACTTGCATTTGTTTCTATTTCCTGTCTTACGAAAGTTTCTTGAGGTGTTATATTCATACTATCTATAGACTGCCTGATTTTATCCTGACACTGCATAAATCTTGAGGTGAATGACTCTAAACCTTCATTTTTGCCCATTATACATGAATCGCGAGCCCTTTGAAGTGATTCTAAACTATCTTTTTCTCCAAATAAAATTCTTAATCTCTCAAAAAAATCGGCAAAGGTTTTAACTGCATCTGCTCTAATTGTATTTGCTGCTCTTCCTACTAATTTTTGTGCAATTATTGCATGCAGTAATGTTAATCTTTCATTTCTTTTCGTTTTTCTTTTAGATAATCTTATTAGATGAATGAAATTTTCTAAACCGCTTCCGTTAAATTCTGGTACTAATTTTATGCTTTTCCCAAAATCATATTCTGTAACTTCTTCTAATTCTTCGTGATCGCTATTTAATTCGTTTTCATTTAAGGGTAAACCTTCCTCTCTTCTAACTGGTTGTTCCATCGCTACTAATCTCGTTTCGAATCTCTCCATTTTTGCAAGAATATTTTGCAAATGGTCATTTGAAGCACTTGATGTTTCTGGCATGATGTTTAGAATATTGTCTAATTTTAGTCTGTCAGTCAGTGATATTGAAAGGGATGAACTGTCTGTGTCTATTGTTTCGTTTTCCCTACTTTCTCTATATGAATTTAAATCCAGTTTAATTTTATAAATTTCCTATATCGTTTCGTACAATTTTTATTTTATATCCGTTCGCGTTTTCTAATTTAAAATTTTATTTCTTGCAATCCTGCTACAAGGAGTACACAAGAATATGAAATTCATTTTTTTAGTTTATTGTCGATGGCAATACTCATAAAATCACGGAGTATACCAACGCTTTAAAACAAACTTAGCCACACCCTATGAAGGTCGCCGTTCAACGTACGTAAAGTGGACTTATACTCTTGTTCTAAAGATTCGTAATTTTCTTTTATATACCTTACTGTTGGTCTGGATCGTAGTTCTGGATAATCTCGAACTCTGCTTCGTAGATTTGGATAACTCTCTGGATAACTCTGGATACCTCTCTGTAGATCTGGATAACTCTCTGGATACCTCTCTGTAGATCTGGATATCACTCTGTAGATCTGGATAACTCTGGATACCTCTCTGTAGATCTGGATAACTCTCTGGATACCTCTCTGTAGATCTGGATAACTCTGGATATCACTCTGTAGATCTCTGCTTTTTCTTTACTTTCTCGTTCACTTTAGATAATCACTTTGTTTATCTGGAACTAACTCTGGGTTCTGGATACTCAAAATCTGGATGAACTTCCAAAAATTTTTGAATATCCTAGCGCTGCCACCAATTATGTTGTCGCCGTAAGAAACAACTAATATTATTATTTTTGGTGAGTTGGTTACTCAACTGAGAGCCAACTCTACTTTATTTATTTAACAAGTAAAAGTACAAAACTTGGAGATAATCAATCCTTCCAATTCTTCACTGAGCCTTATTGGAAGACAAACGTGCTATCACTTTGAGTAGCGACTAATTAATCTGACCACACCTGCTTATGCTTTAGTTTTAAAGAACTGTGAACTCGTCCCCACTCTTTACAATACACACTCATACTTCATACTGTCGACAACACACTAAAAAAAAAGTTTTACTTTTAGCCTGTTTTCGAGGCTGAATTTAAGGTGTAAACGGAGTCAGCCCCATTAAACAAGGACAGACTTATGTGAAATACATGGGCTGAATTTAAGGTGTAAACGGAGTCAGACTTTTTTTTTCCTGTGAAATTACTAGAATCTATAAATCATTTATTTATGATAATGTTTGATTAAAATTAGAATAAAGTTTTAAACATAAAAAAAACATTGTTATAAAAATAAATTAATATAAATTTTTTATTTTTAAACAAAATTGATAAATGTTTGTATGAATGTGTGTGTATGTTCCCGATTTTATGGGATAAATTTAATTTTATACATATGTTTAGATGGAGTTTGCTAGAATTTTGTAAGTGAATTACGTCACGAATTTATATTTTATATGTTGAGGAAGCTAAATGGTCATGAAATGAACAACTTGTTTACAGTATGAAGTTATTATTTTAACTGAATTTTAATTGTAATTAGTACATAAAAAAATATAATTAACATATAGCGGGTATTAATTTTTACTGTTTTCAATGTTATATTTAACTTCAACTGGCTAACAAGGTTATCGTTAGTTATTTTAACATTTCTTTTTTCTCCGTGTAACATTGTACATTGCAACCATTCCATAAAATGTTGCAAAAATGTTACTGTGCAATGTTGCGAAGGTGGGACATATAAAACTTGCAGCAACATTGCATAGTAGCATTGACGCAATGATGCTGCAATATTATGTGCTCTCTAGTAGGTAACTTTGTTTCATTCAATTTTAAATTCGCCCCATATAATAATACTTCGACTACTAATTAATAAACACGTTATAAATTATTAATTTTACAAGATGCAAATAATTTTCATAAGTGGCGAACGTTTATCATTGTTCTCCTTTTTACCTGATAAAAATCGCATTTGGCGGCAGGTGTCTGTAATAATTAGTGCAATTGACAGTCAAATACGGAGATCAGTTTTGGTGCGATTGGAAACCGCAACCGCAGTTAATTGTGCTTGCGCGAGTAATTATTGTCTCATGTTATACACTTTCACTCTGGTCTCCTTGGCTAAAAGGAAAATAATAATGGAAAGTTGATAAGCAACAAAAGGCCTTATGAAGCCAACTTGTAAATATATAATCTTTGATAATCATCTGCCGGTCAAGATCGCATAACGATTTTACGCTCAAGCCCAAAGGCTACTTGAACCGCTAATTCCGAAAATTCCCCTTTTACACTTTTTTTTAAAAAATGTACCTTCAAATTATGGGAAAATTTTTGTTTGTTACGAACGAGAAAATATTTAAATAATTAATATAGTTGATTTAACTATAATGATTATTTTGGGCTTTTGAGATGGCCCTATTTTCCAGTTTGTTGGAGGAATTCAAACTGCCAGAGCGTGAGCTCTGTTTATCTTACTGGGATTCGTGTTTCCTAGTTGCCGAAAATTCAGAAATTAATTAAGGAGGGGGGGGGGGGGGGGGTAAGGAGAAATATAAGAAATTAAATAGAAAGAAAATTAAGAATAATAGTTATGATTTATTATTGTAAATTAAAGAAAGGATCCATCCGCCTCTCAAACAATAAAAGAAAGGAGGATGGGGTAAAACTAACCAGAACGATACAATTACTTACCCGTTCTGGAACCTTAAGTCTACCGCCAGAATTTCTGCCGACGGGCGAAGATTTCACAATACGCACTATTTATTGTCCTTGAAAAATTGTTATAAACAGAAAATATTTTGTAATTAAATATATTATAATTATTAATATATTTAAACACCGTGGGCTTTTGAGATGGCCCTATTTTCTTTAATCAATTTCCTAAGTTAATTCCTCAAACCATTAAAACAGGGCGGACGCGGCAACAACCGAAACCGGCCGGTCTTTTGACAAGAAAGGATTTTTATTAAATTTATTTCCCCACTATTTTAATTTTTGAGACGACCCCGCGGATTTCGAGGTGTTTAAAATTTTATTTTACGTCCGGCCAAATTGCTTGTATAAGCATACAATCAATTTGGATCCTGTATACCGGACGGGAACGTTATAGGAAATTTAAAAAAAATTTTAATCCGACAGAGTTCAAGTCTCTGTGCTGTGGGAAACCGTACTGTTCTCAAATTTTGAAAATGGCCTCCGTGGACTTCGGAGTAATTTGTATTTTTATTTTCGTCCGACCGAATTATTCGTGTAAGCACACAATTAATTCGGATCCTCGGTATCGGACGGGAACGTTATAGGATTTAAGAAATTTCTTTTACACCGATGCCAGAGTCTAGCCTCTGGGGGTCGCGGCAACCGAACTGAACAATTTAGATATCTAATTAATGAGCTTATATAGTTTTACTTCCTTAAGAAATATGGAAAGGTGGGGACAGGGCGTTGGTCCTGTTGCCATGCCAAAATTGCTGAACTTGCATTTTGTGGAATCGGTTCATTGCACTATGTTGAAATAAATTCCTTTTTCTTGTATTCTTAGAAAGAATATTTTCTTTTTAATATTCTTTTAATTATTGAAACAATTTTTAATTTGTTTATTTATTTATTTTATTTTTTTTTTAATTAATCTCTTAAAATAGGATTAATGTAAGTTGGAAATAATGGACATTTCAAAATAGAAATTCCATTCTATTTTGTAACCCTAAAAAAAGGTTGTTACAATTCCAACGTTAAATCATTTGTCAATAATTATTTTAATGTGCATTGGAATCTTCCGCAAGTTTGCAATTTATGGCGGGCAAGGTTTATAAGCTAGGTTGGTACAGGGAAACGAGAGATAAATTATATTTTTGAAAGAAAAGAAATAATAATAGAATTAATAATAATAATAGCCT